ATATATATATATATATATATATATATATAGGGTTTTGCTGGCTAGGGTTTCGCCGTTATGACGAACTCTGGTTTCTGATCCACTGCTCGTGCTCAATCTCCGTTATGACGAACGCTAGGTATAACCAATCTCATCATCATCGTCGTAGCTCGACATCTTCTGCGGGAGTTCGTTCGTGCGGGCGTCGTGCGCGTCTTGCTGGGAACCGCAAGTTTCTCCGGCGTTGTGCGCGTCTCTGCGGGATCGCTGAAGTGTCCGCGAGTCTTCTGCGGTGTCTTTTGTTTTCGCGACGTCCTCTATTATCCGTGGCGTCCTCTTTGCGAATTTTTACGCGCAGTCGTCTGCGTTTCCTCTCTTCTGCGCAACATTGCCCCAGACCTCTTCTGTTCGACTTGCTGACAACTCTTCTCCCTTGCTGACAACTCTTCTCCCTTGCTGTGACTTGCTGTGATGGAGCTTCCTCCTTCGGTTGAGCCCGATAAAACCTCTTTTGTCCACGTTGTGGGTAATTCTCATGGGGAGATGACGGTTGTCTTCCTCTCAAGTTATAAGGAGAATCGTCATGATACAGGTGACTGCCCCTTTATTAAGAATGCAAGCAGGAAGAGTGAGAATGCAACACTATTTTTCTTTGAGTCAGAAATTTCAATTCTGACAGACAAACTCAAATTTGCTCTCATTGAGAAATTTCAGTGGGGACACCCAGCTATGGAAGTTATTAGGAAATTGTTTGATGATTTCAAATTAATAGGAAAGTGGAAAGTGGGACTCATGGATGAGAGACATATTTTGATTAAGTTAACCTTGCCTGAAAACTACACTCCTATTTTCTCAAAAAATATCTTAACATTGCTGGTAAACCAATGAAGCTACTCAAGTGATCTAATGATTTTGACCCCAATCATGAACCTCCTACTGAACCGGTATGGTTTAGTCTACCTGATCTCAAGTTGCACTTTTTTCATCATCATATTCTCTACTCTATTGGTATCATACTTGGGGATTCTATGAAGCTAGATCTACCCACTTTGCTTATCAGACCTTCTGTGGCCAAAATACTTGTGGAAAGAGATATTACTTTGTCTGATGTTACTGAAGTCTGGTTGGGCACAACGCATAATGGATATTGACAACAAATCGTCATAGAGCATAGACCTTCTTATTGTTCTCATTTTAAGATGTTTGGGCATACTCTTGATAAATGCCATAAGTTTCACCATAATTTGAAATCTAAAGATCAAGTGAATAAGGATGGTTCTAAGGATATCCCCCTGGAGAAAAAGCTACCACATGACAAATTTTTGTGTCTGATTATATTGCCCCTGCCATTACTGTTACTGCTAGTGATGTGATGCTGACACCTTCAAACCCCATAGGAAACAATACTGATGGGCTATCACCTACAAATGATCTACAAATGACTGATAATTAGGAGAGCCTCGTAGCTCCAATCAGGAGAGCCTCGTAGCTCTACTTTTTCAAGAAGTATCCGGTGTAGAGACAACTCATACTTCACATATTGTATACATATACTAGAACATATTGTGCGTACTACGGTTGGTATTCCCTCTGCTTCAGCTCCACCACCCCATCAGACTGATTCTTCAGATGAGGAATGATAAAACTATTCCAGGAGGAAGAAGAATGGAGGTCGACTCTAACTCGGGAACATGTTGGATGATACATTGGTTACTACTGACAATAACAATCATCTTACCAACTTATTAGTTTGCTCCTTTCCTAGAACTAGAGACAGAGGCAAAACCAAATTGGGTTGCTCTCTAGCCACCTGATATTATGTATTTCTACACTTTAAGGTTTTTTCTGTCTCTAATGTACTTTTTAGTATTTTTTTGTTGTGGAACCCCTTGTGGTTTTGTTGTGGTGTGGACAGGGTGTCATGCTTGGGTCCTACCACACATTGTATCTGTATCTTTTTTTCTATTTAATATATTAGCCTTTTTGGGCTTTCAAATATATATATATA